ACACACACACACACACACACACACACACACACACACACACACACACATGCATATATATGAAAGCCCTTAGTGTCAAGGTCGTAAAGCCAAAGGCAGATTGCACTGGGATTTATTGAAACTTTCAGGGGAACCCTGAGAGTCTCTGGTTGGAGTCAGGGGAGCAGGCTCCACCTCAGAGCCACTACAAGGTTATGCTATACTTACAAAGACAATGACATTGGTACGATTGGTGACCTGGGTGTGTATCAGGCACACGCCTGGACAGGCAAGGCATGGGCCTCTGCCTGAAGAAAAAGTGAAGGTGATGGGGTTGTTTCTCTACTTCCTCATGAGACACATAACTCACATTAAATATATTTGTCTGAACAAAATATCTTCTGCACTATTATTGCAGACAAACATAGTGACTGTGTTGTTGTAGGGAAAAATAATATGTCAAGTTACCATCTCTTCAAGGTCACAAATCTGTGATGTTCTGGCAAGCAGAAGCTGTGCCGTACGTCATTTGGAATGCAGTGGTCTGCTGCATGTAAGCTGTAACCTGTAAGATGAACTCACTAATGTTTCCTTTTTCTTTGGTGCAGTGGGACTCTAAGGAGGATTTAGTCTGTATTAATGTTATGTTTGAAAAGTTACTGACTGAAAGCTTTGCAAAGCAACTGCAATTCTGATGTGTACCACTAGATGGCTCTGTCCTGTTGCAGGCTTCCTGGCGTGTCAGGCAAATACGCTCTTTACTGACCCAGAACACGGCCATGACTGCTTTTGAAACCATCTGGGCGTCTGGTTTCCCCTTGCCATCCCAGTGTCACTCCTTGGGATTGCATATCTACATGCATACATAGTTTGTTAGACTTTCCTCAAATATGACTAATTCATCTTTTTACGGACATCTGTAAGTTAAATTTTATATATTAAAATACTGACATTCTAGATTTATACAAAGCTTCCTTTTTCATTGAGAAAATTTTCCATATTTTGATAAAGAAAAAATATATTGAAAGTCATTATTCTCCTAAATAAGATTAGCAACGGGACTCTTCCATATAATGAGTTTCTGTCTTGCATGTCCAACATGAAGTAATTCACCTACATTTGATTTTCATAATGTTGTTTAGGACTTAGTTTTCAAATCAGCTATAGTGTTTATACCAAATATAGTTGATATCTATTTGAAATTTGTGGAAGGTCAAGGTGCTGATGGCACCATTTACATGAATTAAAAAAAGTAATGACATAAATTCCAGTAACCTGTAACATCTTTGAAATTTTTGTATCCTGTAGTCATTGTTCCCCATTCCTTTGCATCTACTTTACATTTGAATTTTTCTTTGGTAATGTATCATGGCACACGACACACGAAAAATCTGCACAGATGGCTTTTTTTTTTTGGGGGGGGGATATGTTTTTATTGTCATAACCTAAAAACTTGGATATTCCTTACAAGAGAACAAAAGCATACTGATTATAAAGGACGTATAAGTACTCAGTTCCTCAAGGCATTTTTATTTACTGTTATTTTTAAAATACGAGCATTCTTCTTACGGGACAGAGAAGTTTCCAGTTCATAGCTCTGCACTTAGGAGTTGAAGAGGAAAAACAAAGACAAAAGGACTGCAGCGCTTCTCACTGGTGTAGGTGAGCTCATGCTTTTCACAAGATCCTTGGATAGCTGTCCATCCAAGTGACAGAACCAGACTAGGGAAGGCTTGCGGATAGTGAGCCCTTTCCTTCTTACCCAGCCCAGTCTTGCCAGGGAGAAGCCTTTTCCATTAGGTATGCGCCATGTTAGCCAGCTCCAGGAAGGACAGACCAAGAGCAGAGGCCAGCCAGTCTGTACTGCCTGTCAGCCATTTTGCCAGGAGAGCTGGGATTCTAGCTGGCAGAAAATTTGGTCTACAATTGAGAGAGGTGGTCTAGCTCCCCCTCTACGGAAGGCCTGTGGTAGACATGGAAGGAAGGGTAGTCCAAGGCAGGGCTCACAGTGTCCGACAAGGGTAGAGCCAGTTAAAGCAACATGTGGTCTAAGATAAACCCTCCATAAATATCTGAGAACTGTTGGGTGAAAGTGAAGACCTGAGGCATGCGTTAAGCCTTTTCATAGGTTCTTTCATTTCTACAAGGGAGCCACA